CCCTCCCGCTTTAAGCTACCCACAACATATATCCAAGTCGAGGAATCATTTCGTCGCTAGAGGGCAGACTTAACGGCACGTCAATTCATTCGTTCACACTGCTTGTATTATAACTATTCACGTCACGTGGTTGTTTTCAGGCAATGGGCAATATCGTATCGGATCGCATGAAACGGATGATGTTAACATTTGGTGCTCGTTGACCAATCACATCAATAGGAAAAATAGAAACAACATACCCATGTTTTGCTGTTGAGGACACAGTATATATAAAATGGTCTGTCAGTGGAATGCATTAATTATCCAAGTTCATTAGAGAATTATATATAACTAAGTGTTCGAAACTATTGGTTCTATTAAATTTTATACCAAAATAAAGGAACATTTTAAATAGGTTTATGTTTCTGTATACTTTGTCACACCCAAATTACAGAGAAATTTATTTTAATAAACTGTAACCTACAAAGACCTGAGTCTGATTGTTGACTGTCGTAACACAAACACACATAAAGCCGAAGCCACGTGATGGCTTAATAAAATATGGCTTATAGCACAAAATATACTAGTATAATTTACTTATACGATGAATGCAGAATTCAGAAAGTGAGTAGTAATTGAATTCCCAGTCGCTAAAACCAGCAAGGTGTGACAGTGAAGTCATACCAAATACGTTCACGCGAGTAAGCAAGACAAGGGGTAAACCATATGAACGTCTGTTATACATTGTGTATTAATTGGAGTATACGTACATGATTTCTGCAGCATGACTAGCAAGTGTTGTATAATCTCTCGATAAAAACATGATGATGTCATCGTATGGATAATAATGTACCCAAGGTCAAATATAACGACCTGGCACAGGTATAGGTTCCATGATACGGACGGGTGTATATCAGATATAACGCTCTCGTACAGTTAATCACCATCACGCGGATTTAATACCGCAACACCGATTTAACGTCATGACAATGATACGAATACTAGTATAACAACCTGACACAGATACAACTCAATGATATTATAACCTTCTTAAGCGGATCTAACACCATAGCAATGATCTAATGCCGCGATACATTAGATATAACGCCGTCACACTAATATAACGCCCTCACACTAATCTAACGCCCTCACACAACTATAACGCCCTCACACAAATTGAATACCGTGGCACTGATCTAAAGCCGTAATATAGATATAACGCTATGACACGAATATAATTCCCGGACACAAATACAACGCCAACACACATCTGACGCACATCAATATGCATAATTAAGATCTAGACTACACAATGTGTTTGAAATACGCGTCTGAATGTCACGTGCACTTATAGCGGGAGGGTCGTCACTTGCGCATGCGCGGGAATTGAGTCCCAAGCGACGATAACAACACACGCTAAAACGCAAAGGCTCATGGATAGATGCTTGTTTGTAAACAATGACAAGCGATGGCCATCGGATGCATACGCTTTAAAGTACGTACATCACTTACAGCGCCACCACGACTGGTGCAAAATCAAGTTCAACTTCCAAAAAACATGACCAATTGCTTTGATTTTGTTATTACAGTATGCATCTTACATCAGACACTATAAAACAAGAATTGTGTGTCCAACAAGCTTGCTTTGTACATTTTCCGACCGAACCACCCCTCTTCCTTGTGATGGTGTTTTAATAATAATTTGAAACCTTGATCACTCTTGGCTATTAATGAAGCTTTAAACTGAAATATGCTAAACGCATCAGTAAACGACCGTATAACATACATTTGTTTAGGAATCATCCCAAAATTGACAAAAAAAAGTTGGTCCGGCAAATTTCTCAACGGGTGATACCTCCTCATTTTTATGTTCTATATATGTAGTACGATATCGTTCTTGTATCGAGCTACTGTAGATAGACATATATTATAATTGAGTTTGTCTATATCAGCAATAGTAAAACACAAAGAGGTCAAAGTTCAAAGTATTATTGGTCTTATTAGGTACATGCCAATGAATATTACCGAGGAGCAAATGGAATCAAAGAGTTTCATTGAATATTTTGCAGAAGTAGCGGCACAGTTCCCTTCTCTGTGCTTATTCACACCTTGAATGAACAAAAGACAGTCACGTTACTCCAAAACACGTGATACCGCTTGGCATCATGGGATATGATTCATTTTACCGACGTCAAGTGCAACACTCAATTGATTTCCATTTTTGAAAGCATTTATGAGTATATACGAATGACTGATTTCCTAGCGGTTCTTAATGAATATTGAATTACAGTTGTATGCCGACGCCATTGAGTTTATATGACACGTGACTCGTAGCTAACTTAAAAACGCGATTAAAATGCGGTCGGTTTCCGCTCGGACAAGACCGCGTGGTCGGAAATTATGCGATAAGCGGTCGATGTAAAAGCGGAAGGTTGGGCGAAATGAGTACTGTATGACCATGTTTCTCGGACGAAGTCTCGACTGACAATAATGCTGACAATGGACGTTAGATAAACACGCACTGTTTGCAACTGGAAGCTTATCACCCGTTATATCAGAATCGTCAACAACAGAGTGTACAGATAAGATGTTATCATTTAAACCCTTTCAAAGATAAACATTATGCAAATATCCACGAAACGCCAGTTGTAGTCTTTTCTGCTAGTGTTTTAAAACACTAATTTGAGCAACGTTATTTCGCAATTTCGATCTTTTGTAAACCTGGGGTGATGTATCAAGGTCTAAAGTAACCGTTTTATCAATTTTTGAAAAATCAAGAAAAAAGTGAAAATTTCCCTTCTCGCTACCTTAACCAACCACGCATTTGCTCCGTCATCACGTGACCCGTTAAATCAATAGAGACTAGGGTATATCAATGTCTTCACAGACTACGCACCCACTTAATAACACACAGAATACTATGAACGATAGGTATATGGTTAGGTTGCAGGGTGTAGCCCCTGGGACAGTCCGACCAACCAATTATTTACTCATTTGCACAAACCGTGACGCCAGACGAGATTAAAATGGCCAAAATAACATGGAAAAGGCTGAAAAACGAAACTGAAAACAATCATACTCAAATACATTTATATACTCTTTTTAGCACGCATGCCTCCAAAAAAACGTCACAGAAATAACAGCCGATTTTGGGGAAAAATAGAACTGCAAACCTGCCTTGTCATGTTTGTCGGGTTTCATCCAGACTAAAATACTAGTAAATTAGACTACTTATATAATGTTTAAAGTCAACTGAACCGTGGCAAATCCAGCGTAGAATGATACCTACAAATTACGTGCCTGGCACATTGCCTACGATTGGATGTTAACACACACCACACTCATTATGCAAGTATCGCGTGATGTTCGTGACGTCTTGTGTTTTTGTCTCAAAGTTACAACTCTTGACTATTAGATATATTAATGTGACATCGGGGACAAAGAACACGCCAGTGTTCGACATTTCTACAATATCTAATATCGGTGAAGTCATACTGTTCAAGGTCAGTATTAAATTATCATGAACAAACGCAGAAAGAAACGACTACAACTCTTCGTGGGCACTTGCGAGTGAATTTTTTTTGTTTTGCTTTTTATTATCAAAAAAGTCTTGGCTATAGACTGTTGAATTTTTTATAGAATTGTGAATAGTGGAACATACTCAAAAAACGATTTTAAAATATAGATAACAGGTGCAAAATTATCTCTTTTGAATGCTTTGCAAGATTTAGCAGGCTGTACATAAATAATAATAAAAAAACATGGTGAAAAAAAGAAATGACGGGATCTCCATATTATGCACGTATTTAACTGTTACAAAACGATAATACATTTAAATTTGAAACTGTAACAGCCATTTTAATTATGAGCATTAGCAAACTTCTTACTGAGTGAATTGTTATGCAAATTAGCAATTATCTCAGCTTCATTTTAGTGCACATTCCAGAACTTTAAAAAAATAGCTCCTAGACGCTTTAACCTTTTGTTTTGAAATTTTCACAAATAATTGACAATGTGTTTATCTTCAAAACGCCGTCGAGACATTGTTTTTAGTTGAATAGTGTTACAGCAATCGTACAGACAACTAGCCTGGGTGTTAATTTATGCATAAACTTGAAGTAGTGAAATTTGAGCTGCTGCCCTACAAAATTGACAACTGGTAGACAGTTTTCAAGACGGCACTTTCTTCATAGTAAACAGATGTACCCATAAACCAATTTTAACAGGAAACAGAAGCATGGTTTAGAAGCTATTTTTTTAAAATCACTTTTGACCAAAAAAGCAAATTGTTGTGCATATTTCAAACTACAGTGTCCATTAAAATAAAATACTAACAAAACTTTAAAATTCATACAATAAGCTTTCCGAAAATATATAGTTTAGTGGACAAGGGAGGTCATCTTGGTTTCCTAATTAACTAATTAAAATACCCGTCAGGTAAACTGCATCTCTACCTTAAGCACTAGTGTGTTTCAACAGCATTCATATCTGTGCGCTTTGTCAGACCAGCTTATAACAATCGTACGAGTAATTGTGAACTTTGTCAACAATAATATTGTGGAGAACATATAATGGTATTGATTATTCGGTGACAGTCACGGTCGGACACAGCCTTGTTAATACATCACACATATTAGTTAAGGTACTTCATCTATACCAGACGTTTATAGGTCACGTGTCCACTTGTCAATGTCCATTAACGAATGATAGTACGCCACCTAGCGATCTCGCCACAACATGACGTACCCCTGTACTGGTGAGTATTCCGCCGTCAGATTGTTCGTTCCATGTCATTGTCTACTTATAAGTGTCCCTGTATCACCATAATGTTCATATCTACGCTCCCACTGTTACGTAAATATAACCCATATATACGTATACAAATAACACATAGATCACTTAATACTGTGTGAACACAACTGTTTACTATAATTGTTGAAGTCACGACGTATGATATAGTCTCGAACTTTATATAACATTATATATTCTGTTTTCACTTTATCCTACATTACTCTATCGAATCATAAATCAGGAGATTATTATGCATAACTCATTAATATTACGTATCCTGGTACAATTTTTTGCCGTATTTTTAAACTTCAATTTATAATTGTTTGCAATTTTTTATAAAAACATTTAAGAAATTACACGCTTGTGCTAGTTTACCGTAATACGTTGTTTTCGGAAACTGGTCTGCTTCATCTTTGAAACGCCAAATACGCAAATCCAAGCCATCAACAAAATTATAAAAACGTAACAGGTGATAAAAAGTCTCTATCGACGGAAATGAGCCTTTAACTTCGGTATTTTCGTTGGCGCTGTCGCTGTTTAAAAATTGTGTTTGCAATCAACGCAATTGAAATTTACCGTCCACTCTGTCACAATACGCTGAGGGCAAATATTCGTCTTTACATATGGTCCGATTTTCAGAATACACCAAAGTTATCTATGGAAAAAATGAATTATACCATTTAATAAATAAGTGATTCGAAAAGTTCACACCGCAATGAATGTCATTGTGCATTTTTTTCAATGTTTTTGGACGACACAATCAGGCATAAGTGCATTTAGCGTATAAAACATCATGGTTTCTCCTATCCGTTCTGAAGTACAGTGTTTCACACGCTTTGTATGTATGTCGATAGTTCGCAGTACACATCATCAATGCACGTATCTAGTCCGTAAAGCGAGCGACGAAGTGTAGTCGTGGACAAGTCTCTTTTTCTTGCCCACCCGTCGGTTGAATTGAGGGACTGTGGTTGAACCAATCTATACAACGATACAACACTGAAATCTCGTTGCGATACCGAAACACAGAAATCCTGCAACGGGGCGCCAGGTGTAGTTATATCGAAATTGCAGCCACGTTATATTTTAATGACATTGTTTGCGTCAAAAATAGGGTAAAATCTGACCGTGTAACTGTTGTCTAAACCGTGCGTGTTTAATATTGGTTAGTGATAAGATTATGGAAGACGTCGCGCGGCGTTCGATGTGACTCTGATGACGCGTATGGGCATTGTGTGTAAAATGCACTACTCGCTTACACCAAAATTAATACTATGAGGATAGACAATTCCTGAACTTGACAAATTGAGCTGCCTTTGTTTAGTTACGTCAGGTGTGTAACACGGTAGTAGCTCTAGCTGTCAACAAAACAGAGATGTTGTAATTTTCACGAATGTACAACAGCACTGTTTCACATACTGTATTCGGAGACGGGGGAATGGATGATTTCTGAACAACAACAGTTGGTACCCGGTCAATTACAAGATACCAAGCGATAAAAAGCTTACGTTTCTATAGACGATGTATTAAATGGTTCCATGAATCGATTATTACTTTTCAAGTTCAATCAAGCGAAACCCAAAGCCAATGCCGCACAAATATTGCTCTTCACTTTATCTTCGTTCGATCTACGATTTATTTAAGAAAAACGATCAATTTGGAATAAAAGATTTCTGTCATGAATTTAAAAACAATTCCGATCGTTTATCGCACAATTGAATCATGATTTTTGACAATAAAGTGTCCATTGATTCTAAAGATTTGTTTAAAATGCGCGAAAACAGAGATGAATATGAACTTCACTTTTCAATTGATTCGTGTATTGAATTTGAACAACACGTGCAGTATTTCGCGAGCACATTTATATCCCGATAAAACACTATGACGTCATCGCATGGGAGGAGGAGGTCTGTTTGCAATACTTTTTCATTAAAATGCAACACAATATGTTACCATGGAAAAACGTCAATTTAATTCAAATGGCGGCATCGTGAAACCGAATTTATCACCAACGTCCAGTCATCATTATTGGCTTCTGCATATTTCTATGAATCTTCCGTATCATTTGTTTTTTTATTTCACTTATATACCAGTTTTACTGGGTGAATATTGACATTTGACATTTAAGTGCACGGGCGAAGGAGCTCATTGGCCGGACATGACCGGAGAGCTAATGTTTTATTGTCTTGCACGAATTAGGAATTATAATTCAATATTTAATATCTGTATTACTGTCCCTCAACTGATATTGGTGAAATTTACTCACCAAAGCAAGCCCGTCTATCTGTCCACCGACGCCATCGTAAACAACTCGCTGTAGGGCAATGGTACGTGCTGGACTACAAACTACCCCGGATGTAGTGAATGCACATGATAATGTACTACATTATAGAGTATTAAATTACTTTAATGGTGTATCCGTTGTCTCACGTCGTTATCTTTGGGTTTTATAAGTAGTAAGTTAAATATTTTTCACCAGCGTGTTACCATGGTTATCAAACATTGTATTAAGCAGGAATTACCACGAGGAATGCAGTTTAATATGGAAATATCATATTTATGATTGATTATCGACGTAACTTAAACATCGGGATATTCATGTGAAATTATCAAATATATTAACAGGTGTATATGTATATACAAATGTACAATATAATTGGTCGTACAGACAGAATTTATTAGATTCGCTGATTAGTAAAATCCACTAAATTAAATTTACGCGATCAAGTAAAATTACAATAAAACACAGTTAATATGCTGAAAACATCGAAATAGTGTCCGGGAAAATAAGTGGTTCTACAGTACAACCCTTAAGTTATACGACTCTATTATATGAAAGCGATTTCATGAAATATTCAGTATGGATGAGTGTAGAATCAATTCGGGTTTTTTTTCAAGTACCGTAGCAACGCGCGACACACATATACATCCGGGTATCTAAAGTATTTACCATACACAATGAATGGGTTGCATCTGATCTTCGTCTGAATCTTCAGAATAGTCTCAGTGAAACAATACAAGTACCTAAAACGTCGATAATCCTAGTCTGCTACAAATTAGTTTATCGCACAAAAAAACTACGCAATTAAGCGTTCACTTTTTTACAAATAGAAGGCCTTTTGTGTGAAACACTCTATAGAAACTAAAGTTCCCTAAAACGTTAACCCTTAGGCACCCACGTTCTTCAACTATCTTTAACCTTTTCACCACCAGTTCCCTCTTTTCATCACAAATCCACAAAATAGTCCCGATTATAGTCTGCACTTTCGTTCAGAAGATTGGGACAAAAATAGTAAAATTTTAAAATAAAAAATAAAAATTTACCAGAGTTTTATCTGTTGGCTCCAAAATTAAGGTTCATTTCCAGAAATATTAAAAAATATAAAAAAAAAAGTGCAGACACATTTGGGCGGGAAAAGCTGGTGGTGAAATGATTAATATTTCTAATTGTATACTTTATATTTTTTCAAAACTAGAAACAGTAATAACAATTCTGAAAAAAACGTAGAAAATAGTATTTTTATGACAAAAATATATCAATAAATGAACCCATTAGGGCGTCGAACACCCCGGGCACCCGATGGGATTAAGGGATTAGCGTACAACTAGAGAGAAGGCGGAAGCAATAGAGGTGAGTGTGCGTCGTGTGGCTTCTCGGCAAGAATCGGAGACACTAAAAGCGATATTATCTCTGTTTCAACGAACGGTAGGGCGTACTCGTTTGCAAACTTTTATTTTGTCATAATTTCGATACAACGCAACGTGATGACATGCAATGTTTAATCCTTGGGAAAAAAATAGAACAGGATCGGTTATGTAGTTACCGCTTTATTCATAAATGGCAACTGGAGTTCTCCTGTCAAGACCTATATAGTTTTAATGTGCGTTGTAACTAATTGTCATTACATTATTTCAAATAAACGACAGCTCTTAAATAACTATGGCAATCTCAGTACCGTATGTATCTCATTCCCGTAGCGACTGCAGCCGCGGCGTCCCTGTGTGTGATGACTGTAGCGTCCCTGTGTGTGGTGACTGCAACGTCCCTGTGTGTGGTGGCTGCAGCATCCTTGTGTGTGGTGACAGCAGCGCCCATGTGTGTGTCGACTGCAGCATACCTGTGTGTGGCGATTGCAGCGTCCCTGTGTGTGGCGACTGCAGCGCTCGTGTGTGTGGCCACTGCAGCGTCCGTGTGTGTGGTGACTGCGTCGTCCGTGCGTGTGGTGACAGCAGCGTCCCTGTGTATGGTGACTGCAGCGTCCCTGTGTGTGGTGACTGCAGCGTCCCTGTGTGTGCGGACTGCAGCGTCCAAGTGTGTGTCGACTGCAGCATCCCTGTGTATGGCGATTGCAGCGTCCCTGTGTGTGGCGACTGCAGCGCTCGTGTGTGTGGCCACTGCAGCGTCCCTGTGTGTGGTGACTGCAGCGTCCCTGTGTGTGCGGACTGCAGCGTCCAAGTGTGTGTCGACTGCAGCATCCCTGTGTATGGCGATTGCAGCGTCCCTGTGTGTGGTGACTGCAGCGCTCGTGTGTGTGGCCACTGCAGCGTCCCTGTGTGTGGTGACTGCAGCGTCCCTGTGTGTGGTGACTGCAGCGTCCCTGTGTGTGGTGACTGCAGCGTCCCTGTGTGTGGCGACTGAGTAGCCGATACAACTCTCCAAATAATACATATAAAACTTACTCAATACTTCAACGATGGGTTCAATAAAAACTCCAATCAGAGAAAAAGTGAAATGAGTCATTTAAGAAGTTATAAACAATTCAAAACCATGTATACGCATCAGAAAGCTTGCCACTTTCATTTTGTCGGGAAAATCGAACTTTTTTACACTCTTCACTATCAAGAATATAGAAAATCGTTTACCGGGTTACCATGGACACGGCCTTTCGAACTCATATGAAAAGCTGGAGTTCTAAACAATAACAGAACGGGTGTTCTAAAGTTTTTATCGATAACCGTTTCATTTTGATTTTTTCCCAAGCAGTTTACACACTACAATCGCTTAACGATAGTTCGCTTTTATCTTAGTACTATGGAGGTGTCTTGTAAGGGCAGAATTGGGTCGATTGGGACAAACAGCGTTCGATCTTAACAAAGGGCTTTACGACCCTAGAATTGAGATGTTTATAGATAGATTTAACGATACGATGTTACGAACACAAACGTGTCAATTTTATTCCCAGTGCAATCAATACTAAAGACTGCCGATGTATAAAGAATATGAAGATAGCGGGGATAGGTAGTCATGACACAAATTGAAACGACTAATTTGGCGACGTCAATTTGATCATAACTATACTTATTTGGACTTGGTATTTGTTGCCATAATGTTAAACTACCACTCTTTGTAGCATGTGTATTCGTTTATTTCGGTGAGTTGGAGAACGCATCGAAAATAACGATTATAACAAGTCATTTGGCGGTTTTTGGTTGGCTTGTCTGCGAGTCTCGTTCGAACGAGTCGGTTCACAGCGTGCTGGTTACTGGATTCTCAATGCCCGATTTTCTACAAGCGATCGATTGCGATTATTTCACGGTTCGTAGTACCCCATTTTATGCAAACACACACTTGTCAAGAAGTTGAGAACTGTTTCAGTGGTTGTAACACGGCTACCTATGAACGAGGGTGAACAAAATGGCTGGTTGTTATTTATTAATATGTTTCTCATTGTTGCAAGTTAACAAAATTACACACTACCTTGCATGTGCATACAGTCCGGAGAAACAATGGACCCCCGAATAATAATCGAGCCACTAAAGATCCTACTTACAACGGTGCATATTTTCAAATATACTGATATTGTGTGCTGCACATTAAATTAATAACAAGTGATACATAATTAAGTTTGAATGGGAAAGTAACAAGTCGACGCACAAAAAGAGATAGTTTGTTTGGTTTTCTATGAAACATTAGTTCACTTTAACTGTGCTTTATACCGGTATATCGTATCAGATAACTTTGGTAGTTAGTTGTTTTCTTCGAACAGTAACCTTCACCGATTCAGTTACCATGGTAACATATTGTTTGCATTTTCTGATTGAGTCATCGTGATAAGCGCAAAACTGTGTCTAGAAGATCTAATTAGAAGACTGACGAGAGTAGTTTGAAATGAATAGATTCCGTCAACGATCTAAGCATTCGCAAGTAGCGCGATAGACTTCCAGGATTGTGAAACAAGCCAAAAAAAACTTAAACATATTAGAAAGTATTCAAAAGTATGGTAACGGATATGATGTGATTCCGTACTGCGAGACATAACTCATCGATTAAGGGTTGCCCACTGCACTGTCAAAGGAGGGATGACATATTTGAAAAACAAATATTGCACATTGAATTAACAATAAACTATACTTCGGAACATCTAAGATAACAACAAATTTATAAATTAGGTTTGGGAAAAAGAATACAGCAACCTAATCCCATAATCAGATTTCTGGCTCAAAGTTGCTAAGTTGCTCTGACCCCCCTGAGAGTCCAATAGGTCGCCCCTTAATTTCTCCCAAATCCACTCAGAGCGCTTACTATTTTTCTAGTTACCTAACCTCACACATAACTGCCGATACCTACTATGCACTGAACACTCCATGCCCAATTAACCCTGTCCCTCAGGGCTCCTATCCGTATCTCCGTGACAAAGTAGAGATGCCAGACCTTGCCCCGGGGCCCTACCTCCAATTCCTTCCCGAAGTGGAATTTGATGACAAATTTCTGCTTCATTCTTACTTAGTCTCGATAATTTCATATTCAATGTAAAATTCTGCATTTTAAAGGGGAGAAATTTGTGGACATGTCTTTTCGATAAGGGATTTTGAAACTGTATAATTTTCATTACTGTTATATCAGTTCCGTCTACATGCTAATTCTCGGATAGTTAGTTTTATCATCAAGTTCTTTAGTAAAATTTCCGGTAAAACGAACTTGAAGTCGTCGTTATTGGGCACGTAATTGATACAGTCGATACAATTGTTTACTTCCGGGTCATTTTGATGCACACATTTTTTTTCAATTTATTATATGGTTTTCTTGTGATATGACATTCTATGTTGCTTATTCTCTCATTTATGGCGCGTGTAACGAAATAAAAAATTGTGTAGTTTTTTTTTTATATTCTGAACAGAAGAGTTCATTCACTTGTGCCGAGGTGTACAAATCAGGTAACTGAGATAAACTACAACCCTCGAATTTTCTCTCTAGTTAACAATTTAAAAACATTTTTTTTTTAAATGTGAGCTCAAAACCATTTAGAGGCAAAAGTCAAATGTGCGTAACTTTTCACATGTTTTGCGCAGTGGCATCAAATCTAAGACACTGCAGTTCGGTGCAACATCACCGTCGCGTAAACCGACTAGGCCGTTGCAGGTGACTTTGCCTACAGCATACGAGCACACAATTGTATAATCTTTCAACTTTTCGGGAAAATAACGCTTAATTTCGCGTGACATTAAAAGATGATGTCTAACTTGTTTCTGGTGGGCTGTTATCAAACCATGCGTCGGAACTACTTTACAAAATGTGGATACTTTCAGACAGTAAAAGTTTTAAATGATGTATAATTTCAACGGCAACAGTTGTAGCCCCGAGCTGTCTGCCCAAACTGAGTTAATTGGTAAAACGTTGCGTGGGCGTTTCACAAAGCAGTAGATTGAGGGCGTGGTCTCGTACATCGCAGAAGCACATTTCTCCTATTAATTAATTTGCGAGAGAGAAACAAACTTTGTTTGCGCGCTAATTTTCTAAAGTTCCAAGTTACAGTGTTTCTCACGCAGGAATGTTGGGTAATAGTATCTATATATGCCCGCTGTCATATGTATAGTGTGACATTGCCGCTTACTCACATACTAGTAGTTACGTTTCTTGCTGGCCATACCTGTTTTGCCATTTGTATACACATACTGTCCGCCATACTTCTCCCTGTAAATTGTTATATTGTATAGACTTATCACACCATGTGTCAGAAATAAGGAAAACTACCCAGTAATATTTCCCGCTGTTTCTTTATACCACGGAAATGGCTGCTCCTCTGTTGTAACACGGCCTCGCTGCCAGGTTTATACTGATATATTGCCTGCTCTTATACTGTAACATTGCCCGCTATTTTCGTTTTATATTACAACATTGTCCGCTATTATCGTTTTATATTATAACATTGCCCGCTATTATCATTTTATATTATAACATTGTCCGCTATTATCGTTTTATATTATAACATTGTCCGCTATTATCGTTTTATATTATGACATTGTCTGCTATTATCGTTTTATATTATAACATTATCCGCTATTATCGTTTTATATTATAACATTGTCCGCTATTATCGTTTTATATTATGACATTGTCCGCTATTATCGTTTTATATTATAACATTGTCCGCTATTATCGTTTTATATTATAACATTGTCCGCTATTATCGTTTTACATTATAACATTGTCCGCTATTTTCGTTTTATATTATAACATTGTCGACTATTATCGTTTTATATTATAACATTGTCCGCTACTTATCGTTTTATATATTTTGTTTATACAATACCCTCTCCACAGTTTTTGATTCAGATTCAATTTCCAACCTCTCACCGTCCATCGTTTTTCCACCGACAATCAAGAATTAAATTAGATATTGATAATTGTGTTTTTTTTTCCACAGCGTGATAAGGTCAGGGCCTTTGTATTGCTATCTCGTCTTTGTTACAACCTCATCAACTCTCAACAAAACGACATCGCCACATCTTGCTGACATTGATGTATCAGACGATTTCTATGTTTCATTATTCAAGTCGCTTTCAGACATATAGCTTTGTTCCGTGCCGATACTTGGATGTTGTAGGGCAGCACGGAGCTCTCGACATTTTCTAAGCACCCGCACTTATAGTCCCCCCTGTAGGATCAGAAGACGAAGATTTCGGTGTAAACACAATGCCACGTGGCCACTCCATGGTTTAATGAGGTTCTTCGCTTCTACGACTGAAAGAAGATAATTTGATGAGTGTACTTGGTAAAAATCTCCACAAAACTCTCCCCTCTTGGTCTGTAATTTCGCATATTCTCATTCTGCCCTAATTTGGCAACTTGCACACAGTTGTGTGGGGGCTGTGAAAAGCAGCGCTTTGACTCTAGGGTTGTTGGCATTATGCTGGCGAGCGCCAATCATGCCGAGAAAGAGGGCTTTTGATTTCGCGATTGCGGATTCTTTCTCACAATGGAAGTTGTTAAATGACATCGCTCTGAACTGCGCTATCATCTGTTTGACCACGGTTTGCGCCGTCAGTCAAACTGATAAACAACCTCGCAAAAACTCGTTCCGTCTGTGCATAATCCCAATCCTCTGACAACTGGACAGAAAGACGAGAATTACTAGTTTTTAATGAATATTGACCTAAGTATGGACTCATTTGTAAACAAAAGAGAAAACAACTTAAACTGTGTATTGCTATAATTTGCACGACTGATGCTTAAACACGTATAGCCAGTGTGGTTCGCTCCCCGGGGCGTGCATTGTTCCCAGTGTCGCTTGTTAAATTGGATCCACTGTTAAGCTAGTAGATATTCTTATATGAGAGAAGCAACTACAAATTGCTTATGCCCGCTGGCTTTGACCTGTAAGTGCGAAACGAGGAGCCACGCCAGAATGTAACTTTTGTTTGAGTTTAGAATAAAGCTTTGGCGGAATAGGTTAACAAAATTGGCACTATTTTTCATCAGTTGAAATTCCGACGCGAAACGATACGGCATTTTACACGGGATCTTAGAGTGTCACCAGGCGGATAGATACGGCTGGATGAAGTGATTGGCTTGCGACCAATCGGAGCGCGCCCTTATTTGAATGACAGGACCCGCACCTGGCCTATTCACATGGTGCACGATAACACACGGTGGACGGGAATATCAAGTCATCATAACGATGAACAAATCACATAATCCGATCATTGCTATACATTTTAACACAACACTGGTACGAACAGAACCGAGTTAGAGAAGGACACGAGCGGAACTCGAGAGAAAAGTCAGTGGCCGATCCCAAGCTCTGCATCACTACACTCCATCAACGAGCATCTAAATTACTCCAAGCGAAAAGCTGACGACAGTATGAATGTTGGTAAGAAGAGGATATTTTCTTAAATTTTCACAAATATTGTTAAGTTAAACATAAATATGCGCGCCGACATTTTAGAAGATTTACTACTCCCTCACTGTCTGTATCTCAAAATGTTACCATTGAGTTCGGCAGATATAGGAATAACTTTTCACGGTGTACTTAAATTGTTCCCCGTGCTTGAAAAAACATCCTTTACTGTGTGAAATTGTGAGCTGTTTTTTTATATTATCAGAAATATATGTGATAATCTTTTCTAACAAATAACCACGACTTTTCTTCAAACTACTAGTCAACATATGTCAATACGTTGTCACGCTGAACGCCGAATTAATGCGCGGTAACGGCGACTGAAGCAATTGTGTTTGCATCGACACCAATATTTATCGTATATTTTGAAAACCCGCCAACAGACATCAAACTTCGAGACTATGATATAACCGTGACGCTTTACTGGTAAACCGCAATACTTCCCATTCATAGACCGCTCAGCTTCGATGCAATTGCGCGGCATTCCTTCGACTAAAGAGCAAAGGCCGCTTCAACCTATCTGATAACATTCCGTATCGTGTCGCATCCGTGACTTATAAATAAGGCGATATCGTACATTATCAAGGAAACAGGGTCGAACACTTGTCGTTTTTCCCACTAAAACATTGTAAACAGCTTTGCATAAAGAGATCTATCATCGTTAACGCGTCGTTCCAACCTGTCCACGAAGTGGTGGCGATCTGAACTAAGACCAGTTCGTGTTGATATTAAGTGGAACGATGTCCCTTTCCCTCTGTGTTTATTTAAATTAAGTTCACAGTGTGTCGTAACTGTTTTATACAATTTTTCATTTGAAATCAGGAAATATAATCATAGATTTCATTTACTGGGACTGCTTATGCTAAATTTACCAAAGCCAGCATGTTTTAGTGTTTGAATGAAGAAATATATATATACTATTAGGTTATTTTCTTTAATTTGTATCATTCGAGTCGCGTGAATCTGCCCTTTCCCTATAGATAACAGTCCGTATACAACAACTGTTTTGTTTTATTGGAATAAGTACTGAGTACACCAATAACAGCAGTAATTTTACATGTTGACAAAAATAAAAATGAAGAATTAAAGTCAATTAAATTCATAGAATAATTATATACCTTTGTATAGAAATTTTAATCATAATGACACCTAGAAGTAAGCTCGTATCTGAGAAGTGATGATCTAAATGATATATTTGCCTCGGTTTGCCAGTATTTGTGGATCAACCTTTTTCCAATCAATATCAAATAATTAATAAATCGCCCGTTTCCACCCTTTTGAGTATAATAGAGAATTTTATCGTAAGTTTTAAGCTTGATCTGTTTGAATGTTTACGTTTTTAGTAATAATGTTCTTGAGTACGCTCCAAACAACTGTAGCTTTTCGACAATTCATAAATCTATGTTCCATTGAATCTATTTCATTTCAAGTGTCACAATACATTATTTTTTTCTCCAGAAATATAGGTATTTATTACATGTGATGATTCTTGGTGAGAATTTCCAATTAAATTAAATTCACTCCTCTTGTTAATGATTTAGTATTGTTTTTCCCTCATTCTTTCAATCGGGAGGTTTGTTTTGACACAATATTTCATAACTGACTATGAAACAATTACATCATTTAATTGAATTCGTATATATAAATTTACTTTTAACATTTATAACATCAAAGTCATTGCAATATTTAACAACTTTGGGTAGGTGTGCATTCTGCACATGAAATTTAAGGGTAGTCTACTGTTTAAAATACAAAGGTTCAGATTGTTTGCCACAGAATGTTATTTTAAACCAAGACCTCGTAACTTAGTAAAAAAGGGTAGGTGTTCTGTCACATACAAGTTCTACTATCTCCCTGTCCAAACAAATTTAATGGAATAGTGTAGTTTCCTCCGATGGTGATAGATATAATAGAATAACGGAATGAGAGACCATCTATCCCTATTTTGTTAAAAAGTCGTATCACCCAAATTGTTCTAAATGTGCTGTGATGTCATGATACTTCGAGCCTTCTAAACTGTAACCTTGTGTAGCTAAATGATTTTTGATGCAATCTTTCCTCAATTTCCAGAAAAACATCAAACACCATCTTTTCTACTCTAGTTAAGACGTGTCCGGGTATGACAATAGTTGACGCGAAGTATAGTAGCTGTGTGATAGTGCCAGGGATTCGGTGATCACAACTCTTCCGTAAACACTAAGGTTCCTCGCTTTATAAATGTTCAAGAATGTTTTCATTTTCGCGAGTTCACATTCCCATACCAATGTTTCACGGTTTTACCGTATACAGCAACTTTACGCTGTGAATGTTGTCGTGTTACGTTGCAATACACCTTTTTTCGTCGCCGCGCGGTAACAAAAACAGAATGCACGGCGCTATTAACAAATGTTGACTCCGGTCACGGTGACCACCAAGTTTTTCTCACACACTCACTCTGTTCACTTTAATCGAATAATTCTGACATTCACAGATCGACAAACATTCTATCGATTTTCCCATTTGTCTCATCAGTTTGTCCCGTTACACTCGACGTTTATTCAACCCCTGGTGCCTTGTTCCGCAAACATTTGAACGTTCAGTAAAGTACTAATTTTCCCTGGGGGCTTACAGTTCATTTTGACAATACAGGTTGCTGCGAGCACAATAACGGTGGTGTGAAAAACTACCTGGCAGTTCTCGTGGATTAGCTGGCCATTCAGTGAATTAAGTGTCAACAACGAGACACTGGCCGTTTAGTATCGCGAGAATTATGTTAAGTTAAGTTCTTAGCGCGTTTGTACAATATTTCAGTCAAATTCGAAAGACTTTCGTTATTATCGGATTCACAGAAATATTATTTTCGCACCATTTACGAGCGCGGTAAAAACTTTCACTTACAATAACACAATTCTCGTGATAAACGGAAAGTGTCTCGTTATTGACACTCACACTGAAACTGATCGGATTTCTTTCGTTTTTAATAGTGTTTTTGTGCATGTCAATTTCTACACATTGAATACACAGTATAGAGTATATGGTGTGACGGTGTAACACCTGTCTTTTTTAACGTACACACAGTAAGGAAAAACCGTGCATTTTGAACGTGACGGGAATGTGACTACATGGCTATTACAAAGACATCGCAATGAACTGCGTGTACGCCCCAAGTCCAGCCTTAACCAACGTATCTCTGCGTCACATTTGTTAGAATCTTAATCTGTGTGACTGGTTGTGACCGACCTAATACTGTAGGTACGTGGCACATCGGACCCATCAGGAGTCTGCGATACTTATTTAGTTTTTACTCCAACAAACTAGTAAAGACCCCAATCTGAAAGCCCATCTCTTACGAGTCCTGACATGAGGAGGAATGCCGCCGATGACATGCCAGCATGGTTTACTCGATTAGTCGTGCTCGGCAGCGTAGAATATTAAAACAACTATAGGCATTTAATAAGAAGTGTATACCCCCAGTTATTTCAGACATGGACATACTAGATATACCTCAGAGGACTGACTTGCAAACAATAACCGCTATGCTACCTCAGTCCCAGTTATTCCCTGATGATATTTAGCGGTGTTTCGCTACCTACTATGCGTAAAAGTGGACTTTTATCACCATTTACTGCGAAACAAACTGGCGGTAACAATTTCACTCATCCGACAAACACTGATTCAAATTACAAGTATTGATCGTTGATTGTTCTGCTAATCGCCCTTGAAATAACAACACATCAAACAGTTTAGTTATATCGACAATGAACTTCTTATTTTTCGCATTTCGTCATTGGGCAATATTCTTGAAATGGCGTGCAAAGAATGTGAGGCTGCCAACGCCAATCACAATTCTCTAATGCCTATCGATTGTTTCATCGCAAAATAAGGGCTGGTTTGTCAAATTGGAAAGAAAAACAGTGAGTATAGAAACTTTTGTGATTGCAGTAATTATTTAACCAATGAGAGGTTGATAATATAGGACTAGTTTCCGAAAGTTACACAAGTGGATGTTCGAAAAATTGTCCTGAGTTCTATTCTGAGTTCGTTACATTATTTATGTTTCCCAGCATAGACAGATTGTACGCTGTTAGCTGAAGTATCGTAGTTTTGAGATTAAATTATGCATTGTGAGACATATATGCATAAACACAAACACGGAGTGGAATATAGCATCTGACAACTATGAATTGTGCATTTAACGTATTCAATAAATGGTGTATTTATCTAACGAGGGCCATGACTTGGTCTCTCCTTGCGGCGAACTTGAACATACATTCAATTTACACACTGATATGTACTCACTCTGACACGACATTAAACAAACATTTCACCTTTTTGACAACTTTCCGATGTCAATAACTGTCACACCCACCTTCTTGAATTTATTCCTGATTTCACTGTAAACAGTTGAAGCTTGTAAACTTTTTGACGTGGAAAAGTATAAACATTTAAGTGAGTGGCGCAGAGAAAGTGTTTGAAAAGAGAAAATCGTTTGACTGTTCAATTGAAATGGACATTATGCTTACGGGGAAAGGATCAAGAATGGAGAGCCTGTAAGTAAACACGAACGCCAGCGTGAATATTCTGAGCACGGTCAGCAGTGTCTTTCTAAATGTCATGCTGAATTCTTGTCTGAAAGCCCCCGGCTGCTGTGACAACAAAATAAACGTGTTCTTTTGATCGCTTCTCCATTTTGCTGCTTATTGGTGTTTTAGAGTCGTTTGACTCGTCCCGTGTTTCACCTGAGCACGCACAAGTTAAACTCTATCGCATGTCCATTCTCGACACTATTTTAATTCAATTTTGTGATCAAACAACACGGTTGGGGACTTAATTTACCTCCGCTTTGTACCTATCGATCCCCAGAGACCGTGCCTTGCCACCACTTGTTAGGAAGTGTTTTGCCATAACCACATATTCAATGTTCCCCTGTTCAAAAAGATATTTGATCGGCACTGTAGGCGACCAGATCAGTTCGCTTTGACATGGCGCTTACACGTTCAATTTTGGGTAAGCTTTGAATATATTTTTTTTCCAGAGAAAACGTTTTCTTTCTTTACTTTTTATATCAATACACTTCGTGGACGAGGCACTATTAAGTTGAGATGCGCATTTGGATAAATCGGATGGGATAAAACGGTTAGACAGTTCTCATGTTTACCGTGACGGATTCTTACTGAATCAAGAAATTTATTTAGTACTTGTTTTAACAGTACTGTCAAAATAAAGCTAGCGGAATGAAGAGGGTGTCGTACGATACTTATCCTAGCAGCGCTTAATTGCAATATTAAAAAATCAAGTTCAAAATAGTGATTGCCGATGATTTTTTGTAACAAAGCCCACTGGCGTATACGGCCAATAATTTTATTATACGTATATACTCAGTTGTTATAAACGTTTTATGGAAAACTGAAATGTCGTAATGAAACGGGGTGTATTAACTACTGAATATTGACACCCGAATTCGTGAAGGTCAATAATTTAAACGTGGCAAGTTCTTAAAAAAGGCGTCTAGGCGGAAATGTTTAGTTTGTTCAAAGTCAAGTGCAATATATATTTTAAGACATGCTTCTGTGCGATCATACAACATACTGGGATATAACGGGTTAGGGTGCGAACACGTCCTCGTGTTAGTTTTGTTGTATTTAGCACTATAAACTTTTATAATTGTCTGTCAATTAAAAATAATTTGATACTATTGTGTGTGTTTTTCTGTTGTATTTTCACTACCCCGGCGTCGTGGAGTAAGATAGATGATAACGCCAACAGCGCGGCCCGCAATAACCAGTTTTATGTGTTCTAAATATTCTACTGTTCAGTTCAGGACAAGTCTCGGAATATATACTCATATCTCGCGTTGTTTCCGTTTGTTGTTTTCTCAGACATCGGACCCCCATGTATGACCTCTCCGACAGCAGCCTCTGGGTCGTCGTCGTCGGCGGGATCCAGGAAACCAGACATACCGTGTCGCGTATGCGGAGACAGAAGTTCCGGCAAACACTACGGCGTGTATAGCTGCGACGGGTGCCGTGGATTCTTCAAACGTAGCGTGCGACGTAATCTGGCGTACGTTTGCAAAGAGAACAACAACTGCATAGTCGACGTGACCAGGCGAAACCAATGCCAGGCTTGCCGTTTCAAGAAATGCCTAGAAGTGCGAATGAACAAGGATGGTGAGTGGGAACTTCACATGTCACTTATATATACCACAATTACACTTATATACACCACAATTACATTTACATATACCACCATCACATTCACATATACCACCATTACATTTACATATACCACCAATACTTTTACATATACCACCATTACATTTATGTATACCACCATTACATGTATACCACCATTACATTTATGTATACCACCATTCCTTTTATATATACCACCATTACATTCATGTATACCACCATTCTTTTTATATATACCACCATTACATTTATATATACCACCATTACATTTGTGTATACCACCATTCCTTTTATATATACCACCATTCCTTTTATATATACCACCACTCCTTTTATATATACCACCATTACTTTTATATATACCACCATTACTTTTATATATACCACCATTACTTTTATGTATACCACCATTACTTTTATATATACCACCATTCCTTTTATATATACCACATTACATTTATATATACCACATTACATTTATATATACCACATTACATTTATGTATACCACCATTCCTTTTATGTATACCACCATTCCTTTTATATATAAG